ATGCCTTTAATCCCAGCACTTGGGAGGCAGAGGCAGGTGGATCTCTGTGAGTTCGAGGCCGGCCTGGGCTACAGAGTGAGTTCCAGGACAGGCTCCAAAGCTACACAGAGAAACCCTGTCTCGAGAAACCAAAAAAAAAAAAAAAAAAAAAAGAAAAGAAAAAAAATGAAACACCTAAACAGTAAAACAATATGGATGGTGGTGTGTGTGTATGAGTGTGTGTGTGTGTATGTGTGTGTGTATGAGTGTGTGTGTCCATCCCCGTACTTGTGCACGAACTTCCTTCCTTCTGATAAGAAGAGGAAGAGCTCTGGGATTCACAGGAGATGGGAGCAGTGTACAGGGAAGGCTGCTGTGGATATTCTGCTGCAGAACTGGTGATGAGACATGGGGATTGGGTCTGGAGGAAGAGAGAGAGCAGAAGGTCTGCCAGCAGCCTACCTGGTTTTCTGGCAGTCATGGCCTGTAGTTTAGCAGGGGGTGCCTGCTGGTTTCGGGGGCTGGGATACAGTGATGAGTTGGGGGCAGTGAGTTAGGAGGGGATGGTCTGTGAGATCCATAATAGATGTGGGCAGCGGGGGAAGGGAGGCTACAGCTGGTGTTCTGTTGCAGTGCTAGGGGTGAGACTGAGGGATTGGGTCTGGGGGAACAGAGAGGGACTCATTTACCATTTTAATGGGCTTTTCTAGCTTAACACACACACACACACACACACACACACACTCGCCAGTGTTTACTGGGAGGTCAGTTTAACAATTCAATTGTAAATTGTAAAGATACAGTTCAACAAGTGAGATTTAAAGCACTGAATAGCTTTCCTTTCGAAGGGATCCTGAGTGATTCTAGATGAACGTAGGTAGAGCTGCTTGGTAGAAGGAAGCACGAATGGCAGGCATGCTAAGTCATATGAGATACAGAGGGTTCTCGCTGACCTTTCTTTCTCAGTGTTGTAAGCTCGCTCACCACTGTTTTCTGCCCTGCGTGTGTGTGTGTGTGTGTGTGTGTGTGTGTGTGTCAGTTTAACCATGTTTGGAGGAGATGACTGGTGAGTGTCCATCTGTCAGATCTTAAATGGACAGAAACCATTGGATCAGGAGTCTGGAGGAGTTCTTCCACAGTTGTTTTGATGCCTGGCAGTAGATGAGGAGCATGGGCAATAAGGTAGGGAGACCTTAGCTTCTCACCAGCCGCAGAAGAGAAAAGATGATGTCAGTGTCATACAGACACTGCCGTTTGGAGAGTCTGCCTGTTTAAATTGCTCATCCTGTTTAGCAAGACCGAAAAGGCTTCCACAGTGATGCTGATTTTTAGGAAGGTCTAAAATCCAAACAAGGGAAAAACCTTTGGAGAAAGAAGAGAAGGGCCTGAATAAATCCCAAATAGTATTCAGAGCAGGACTGTTATTACCCAGTTACTAAACAAATAGCATGGCAAATGCTTACAATTTTGGTTCAGCTTTGCTTCATAAAAATTTATTGAATACTGTGTTGTGCACTGTGGGAAATAAACAAGATGTGACTTTGTAATAATGTGATGGATTTTAAAGAACACGAATTCCTAGATTTTTGAGAGTTTAAATATTTTTCTAGGCATATTTTCATTACTGAAAAAAATTCTCTTAGGGCATGCTTTCATCCTGCAGCATATTTAAAATATATGTCGGTGTATACACATGTGTTTATTATTTATAGATTTAATTTTGGAAATAGCCAGGCGATGAAGAACTAAGTCCTAGGAATAAGGTAGATGATCAGAGTGGAGAAAATTCTGTTTATCTAAGTTGAAGTGTGACTGTATCTCATGGAGTGTGATTTTAGGGGGGGGGAATGTCATATTAATTTTAAAAGAGTTCCTCTCATGTTGTATGGCATTCTTGCATTAAGGTTATCTCTTAGAATGACCATGAAGTAAAACACTCGCTTATGTATCAATGTTCTGATGGGTTTATCCAAGTTCTAACTTCTTACACACGGAGGCTGAAAGAGGCTTTGGACCTTTAGGAACTACCAGGAAGGTAGTGTGGACATGAACGTGAGAGTCAGGGAGTGAAGCCTGGCATCCATCACTGCTGTTGACAGGGTTGAGGTGACTGATATATTCAAGAAACTGGGCATTGACCAGACTCATTCTTTAACTTTCATGTAGATTGGAAAGGCAGAGGTTGTCTTTCTGTCTGTTTGTCCCATCTGCTTTTCTCTGTCATATTCTGTTTCCTGTTTGTTTTACCCAGATTAATTTATGAGTAGAAATCTACACCTCTGAAGGACCTTGGCTATTTCTGTGTGCATTCAGGCTTTCTTGGTGCTGAGTTTCTGCAGAATACTCTAGAAAAGGGAAGTAAAGAAAGAAAGCAGTTGGCAAGAGCAATTCTGAATGGCTTCATAAACTAAATGAACAGGACTGACTTGAGGTTTGCAATGGTTGATATATTTTCTTTTTTTAAATTTCTTTTTCTCTTTTTCCTTCTCTTCTCCTTCCTCTTCTTCCTCTCCCTCCTCTTCCTTCTTTGTTTCTGTTTTTCAAGACAGGATTTCTTTCTCTGTGTAGCCCTGGCTGTCCTGGAACTCTCTGTAGAACAGGCTGGTCTTGAATTCACAAAGATCCGCCTGACTCTGCCTCCGGAGTGTTGGGACCAAAGGTGTGCGCCACCACTGCCTGGCTAATGTCTTCCTAATGCCTAGTAGCATTGTCTTCCACATTAGAGCTCAGAAGACTTTGGACAAGGACTAGTGTACTCAGCTTTAGTCTACACAGCATGTAGTGAAGTGCAGCAGGAGCCCAGTAAAGACCATGTCTTGTCAGACACTATCCATGACCCTCTGCAGATGGAAGCATTGCTCCCTGATTTTCATCTCATATTCCTCTAAATAAACCCTGCGTCTGTAGTAAGCTTGAGCTGCATAACAAAATTCCATTGTCTGCATAGCTTAAAAAGACATTTGTTCTCCAAAGTTCTTGGGGCTAGGAAGTTTAGGTCAAGATGTCTGCTAGTCTGTCCTGGTGAGGGCTATCTTTCTGCCTGGAAGACTGACTGTCCTCTTGCTGTGTCTTCACTTGGCAGATGGAGCTGGGGCTCTGGTGTTTTTTATTACAGGAACACTAGTTCTTTCAAACCAGAGTTCCACCATCATGACTTCATTTAACCTCAATAACTTTAGATCAAATACAGTCACATTGGGAGGCTAGACTTGTCATGGTTAATATTGACTGTCAACTTGGAAGGATCTAGAATCACTATGTAAACAAACCTCTGGGTGTGTCTTTAAAAGATTACTTAGGTTAGATTAGTTAAGGTGGGACTATTCCACATTTGGTATTTCTGGCTGCATAGAAAGGAAAAAGCTACCTGCCCAGCATTTATTTCTCCCTGCTTTCTGACTGTGGATGCAATGTGACCAGCCTCCATCCACTTCTGCCACAGACTTCTGTAGTGGGTAGCTGTTCCAGCTTTGACTTTGAAACACTGTCCCTAGAGTGATGGCAGGTAACTGCCACACCTGTCTATGACCGGCCCCTGGGGCTGACCTGCCCTTAAGGCATGGCTGAGAGGGAGTCCCTTAAGGTACATACATGCTTGCTCTTCTGGATACCTCGTGGTCCTGGAATCTGGATGGGAGACCAAGCCTGAGTTCTCTGTTGGATGGTACCTCATCTCTCCTGGATCCTGTAACCAATCCCTACTGACTATAAGTTATCCCAGAAATAAACCTCTCTTGATTACCAGATAAATTACATGGAATTGCCTCATTAAATATAGCAATAGACTTCCCTGCCACCAGGTCCTGGAAAGCAATTGCCTAGAGAAATGTTTCCTCAGAGTCAGCGCAGAGGTTGCTGCAACAGTGGTCGAAAGGAGCCATGCTCCATCCCAGATGTGGCACTGTAGTCTATGTGGTTCTTGTTTGGCAGACATAAAAATTGCAAGACAGAGAAAGTAATGAAATCTTACGCCACACTTCCAGAGAGCCACTAAGGCTAGGTAATGTGAGGCAGGGTCAGACTCCTTGCATGGAATTCCAGAGGGGCAATAGTGTGAAGATGAAGCCTAAGTTACAGTGAAGACCCCAGGATGTTGGAGATGCAACAGAGATTTCTATGTAGTCTCCAACCTTTATGTTACTTAAAGTCACTGGACAATCTTCAGATGGAGCATGTGTAAGACAAGAAAATACTGCACACTAAATCCTGTCAATGTTCAAAATGCACAGGAAAGAGAATTGCTGTAAGGAAGTGAAGAAGCATGGCTATTTATCTTTGTATATCCACCACTGAGAACAGAATCTTCTCGGTGTGCTAAATTTAACAGAACAAGTGCAGACTGCATGGTTATTGATGTACTTCACAGCCAATCTCTTTGTCCTGTCCAGGAGCTAAATGGACAGCTGACTAAGGCAAGGGCCCTAATGGATATGGTAGATTGAAGGGATAGGGAACAGAAAGTTCAAGGAACTCATGTCAGCTTACAGGAGGCTGAGGAACACAGGCCAGTAAAGATGAGTACTTCAGTAAGGTTAAATAACCCAGTTCTCCAATGGAGGAAGAATTGACTCCAAAAGGCTAGCTTATCTCTACCTCCCACAGCAATCTGGGGTTCTGGAGTAGGGTGTGAAACATGAGATTTCCATATGGGAAACGTATTCTGGTGCAATGAAATGCTGGTGGTGGTGATGGTGGTGGTGGTGGTGCATGGTGCAGCTGATGACAATGTTCGGTTGTTAGCTAATGGTAGTGCCTTCAGCTGGTCTTTGTCGGGGTAGCTCCTTGAAAAGGACCAGCAATGCCAGTTGGGAGTGATTTTAGGCTATTCCTTGATCAAGTGCAGTAACTCTGCCCTTTAGCCTAGGCGGTGATATCTGGCCGCAGCTGGGAGGCAGTGCTTGCGCGCCTGGCCAGCGCAGTAGGGTTGGAAACTCTAGGGAGGAGCAGATGAGGGGCGTGGTGTGGGCGTAACCATATAGAACTAGGCCACGCCTCTCTCGCCTTTCTAGCCTGCGCAAGCGCGTTGTGGGCCGTTAGCTGTCAGGAGCCTAGCAGCAGGCGGCCGGGATCCGACGTCTGTGCGGGGACTTAGCTATCTGAGCCCCGTGCAGCAACCACCCCGACAAGCAAGCGCCCCGAGGCCCGGGCTGCCTGCCAGGTCACAGAGTCGAGCGGAGACCTGTGGGGCAGTTGGCCGCGCAGGCAAGATGGGGAACCGGGAGATGGAGGAGCTGATCCCGCTGGTGAACCGTCTGCAGGACGCCTTCTCGGCGCTGGGACAGAGCTGTCTGCTGGAGCTGCCGCAGATCGCCGTAGTGGGCGGCCAGAGCGCCGGCAAGAGCTCGGTGCTCGAGAACTTCGTGGGCAGGTGAGCGCACTGGGAGCGCGGTGGGGGCGCGGTCGTGGGGGCGCCCCTGCTCCAGGCCGTTGGAACGTGGAACGGTCTGGGGAGCCCGAGGGTGGACTAGAGGCTGCGGCGGATTGGGGGCAGAGCAGTAGTGTCCCTGGAGCAGGCGAGGTCCTCCCTGCTCTGGGCATCCTTCGTCGCCGCATCCTCCACCCCGTGGTGACCCCCCTGTCTGCCTTTCATCCTGCCATACAAAGCCATTTCCTCCCCACCAAGGGTGGGGGAGTCGGGGTCCGCCCCAGGATCGACTTCCCTCGCTGGCTCGGTGCGCGCCAGCTCCTGGCAGCCTGGATGCGCAGCTCGGTGCTTTCCAGTCCCCTGGTCTCAACGTCCCCCTCCCTTTCCTGTCACCCTCCCCGAGGCTCTCAGCTCGGCTGTGGGGATTTACCCCTCCTCCTCGGTTCTTTTCCCCTCGCCCTGGCTTTCCGATCTCTCTACTGTTTGAGACAGTCATCGTCTGCCCGGAGCTGGGGAGGCGGGGTGTGTGGACCCAGAAATCCCTGTGGCGAAGGCTTATCCGGAGACGCTTGCCTACCACCATTCGCCCAGGGAGCAGAAGAATAAACGGTGGTGTGTTTGAGTGTTCACCCATTCACTGCTCAGGCATGACTGAAAACCCGAGACCTCCGGGGGTGACCGTGGACTTGTAATGTTCAGGTGCCGTGTCATTCCTGCATCATCTCAGAACTGACCAGCATCTTTCTCGCACTCTCTCTGTGTGCCCCCTCCCCCCCACAGCATCCTCTTGCGTTCCCTAAGCTCTTATTTATCCAACTGGTCTTCAAGCTAACATACAGAACCCAAATTGTAGTTGTGGCTTTCTTCATGTCTCCCAATTAAAAAACAAATAGAGAATTATTACCGTTTTAAGTCGGGAATCTGCGTTTCTTTCGGTGAGCAATTCAGGAAGGATTAGTTACCCTAACGGCCTTGCATGAGGAGCGCACTACGAAGGCTGAAATCTGTTTTCCAGTAGTAAACCAGGTAGAATGAGCAGCAGTAAAGACAGTGGGCTGGAGGGGGGCAACTAGAATTGCATTTTATTCTTTTATTTGGCTGGAGAGCGACTTGTGATGCAGAGGGTTCTTGCTGCGGTCCTCCACCCCCTTCTTTCTTTTATTGCTTGGCAATGTGTAAACTGTAACGCTGACTATTCCCACGTTTTTGGGTGTGAGCATCACAAAGTGCGTTTTCTTTTTTCTCTGATGATGCGCCACCTCTCAGGAGATACTCTTCATTTTTCTTGTTTCAGTATGAACTAGAAAGATAAAAAGTGGAATTGCTGGCAACTGGCTGCTATCCTTGGGTAGTTAGACTCCTTAGTCATTTTCCCCTTGTTTTTATAATTCATTTTGCTCAATAAGAAAAGCGGTAGCAAAACATTTTGTCTACGTCATCTCAGATTTCTGGTCTAAGGCGAGGATTTAATGATATTTATTCTAAAAAGAATCCTTGAAGATTAACATTGCGTTTCAATGCAACAGCCATGTTTCCATGCACCTGCCTTATAATTTACTTGGATGAGCATATAAGTATATTTTGGTCAGTGCCTTTGAACTCAGTGTAAATTCTATGCACATATCTCAGTTCTGCTCTCTAGGTTTGAAAAACCGAACAGTCTTCTTAATGCTATGGTATAATGCAAGTGTGTGCATTCCCTTTGCTAGCTGTATATTCTTTTGTCATGAGACTGAAAAGGGAGATATAGTAGAGTAATATATTTAGTTGTGAACATTTTTCTATAATGAAGTGAAAAATAGGGACTATAAAAATCAGAGCATTTACCAGAGCGCATCAGTAATTTGCTGTACTTTACGAAGTTTTACTAGTGGTGACTGTTGGAATGATGAAGAAAATAATACGCATAGAAGAATATGCTCATTAAGTAAGCCTTTATAAGCTGCACAGTAGCACCTGTCTAGCACAGCTTACATATTCAGGAAGAAACTTAATTAGAAGGTCATTTGACTTTAATAAAGATTTCTGTCATTGAATTATTGAAGAATCTAATTTCTAATTATAACTCAACCTAAGGGAAAAAAATCTTTCCAGTTTCAGAAGTGAATCAGCCCAGGGTAGGGGGGAAAAAAAAGGTATTCATGTTTCATTGCAACCTCTTAACTTTTTATTAACCAGGAATTTTATAACCAACATAAAGTTCTTTAAAATGCAGTATTTCTCCTCTGCTCAGAGCTGTTTTCATTTTAATGCTTGACCAATTGTGTAGTGACAGAGTATAATCAAACACCAGGGGCCTCACTTGCGTCAACTGTTTGCTTCTGAAGTCAGCTTGTTCTCTTCAATTACTGTTGCATTCATTTATTGATTTATTTACCATTTAACAATACCTCTTTAGTAGCTAACTATATCTTTCCCTTGAAAATAATTTGCTTATGTTGATTTTTTTAAAATACCATTGAATGCGTTTGGATGTGAATGTGTTTATTTAACTATGTGTAAAACCAACTTTGGGGTGATAAGTTTGAGTGTATCATGAATAAAATGTATCATGAATGAACTCCTTGTTTGTGATTTTCTTGCTGAGGTGACAAATTTGCATATTAATGTGATAAAGTGTGAGTAGCTAGATTGTTTTGATTGAAGGCGAGCCTATATGCTGGCAGTAAGACACTGCTTAAGGTCTGTGGGTCTAATACACAGAAAGTGAAGCCCATGGAGTGAAGGAAGATAGGGTTCACTACCAGGCTCGAATCTGTCCATTTGTTTAGTTGGTGAATGGAAGAATTGAATTTATTCAGCTGCTTTCTTATTTATGTATTTATATGAACTTCTTTGCCCCTCCCTTTCAGATAAACTCGGGGCCAGGAAGGTGCTCCCCCACCCAGCTGTATTTCCAACCCATGTCTCTCAACTTTTTTTTTTTTTTTAATTTAAGTAAGAAGACTTGAATTACTCTGTATCCTAGGCAGGCATTGAACTTGTGATAGTCCTCTGTCAGCTGCTGAGTAACTGGGCTTAGAGGCCTAAGCCACCTGCATAAAGAGAAAAGATCCTGAGACTCGGCTCTCAACATGTATGTTTAGAGGGCAGTAAAGGTGAAAACAATGACTAATATTTATTGAGTGATTGCTACACGTTGGATATTATCTTGGGTCCTTTTATATGGATAATCTCATTTAATCCTCATAAAACTCCAAAGAGGTAGCTGGGCTCGTTCATTTCATTTTACTTAATAGAAAATTAAAATGCAATGAGCTTGAACAAGTCACTCATGGCTAATTTCAGTTAATGTAAAAACTTCTGTTCAACCTGAGGTGTTAGAGCTCTTTTATGTAGTCTTTAAAACCTGTGTGCTGGACTGTCTTACCACGTGGAGGTTTATCACACCTTTTGGTTAATATTTTCAGCATCTTTCTTATTGGTCTTATAACTCTGGGCTTATGAGCAAGAAACTGCTATATTGATAATTCCATTCCTATTATGTTGTGTACATCTACTCTCTTAGAAGTATTGATTAAAAGACACAAATTTTTATTTACTCTATTAGACATTCCTAAAGATAACTCTGAAACATAAATGTGTTGTTCCCTTAAGTATGTGTTTAGAGTGCACACAACTTGTTTATTGAGGTGCTAAGTGAAAACTGTACTAGCTGCTAATGTGCAAATGTTTTTAATGATACACTTGTTAGCAGCATTAGTTGTTCAATGCTAATTATATAGGCAGAAGATTTTGTTATTGTGTTCCAGTCTGGGTGGTAAACAGATCTCCAGTTCTGAACAAGTAGAAAAGATTTTGTGGCTAATGGAAGCCAGATAAAAGATTTTTAAACACTGACTGTACTGATGGGAGTTTGTTTCAGTGTGGAAATTTCTCAATAATATTTATCTATTTCCTTCAAGGTTTATAAAGACTTTGGTTATCCAGTTTGAGGGAAACTGTGAGCCATTTGATGATGTTATTGGATATGGCCAGATAATTTAATCTAAAATTTATATGGCTCAAGCACTAATCTACTCTTAACTCCTTTGTTTAAAACTGAGTAAGAGTCCTCTAATTGTGAATAAGGTTAAAACTTAGTAAACAAGAGTACGTTTGTATTGAGTGGAAGGATTTTGTTAAAATAGCAAAGTAAGTTACTGGATTTTTAAAAAAGAAATGGCTCTTAAGGTTATAATTATTAGGTTAATGGATGCTGATAATTAAAATGTGATACCTATTGAAAATTATGCTTAGAAATTTCCAAGGAATTATTCAGTAAAATATGAACTGTTCTTTATCTAATGAGTTGGTGGAACCTGAATTTATGAAGATATCTGTGCTGAATCAGCATTATATAATGCCTTTTACGGCTATCATTGGTTCACAACTAGTAGAATTTATTCACCACACCAACATCATTCCTTATTTAAATACCAGTAATGTCTGAAAAGAAATACGGATAAGTGAACTGACTTTGACAGAATATCTTTGTTTTGGATTTATTCATGATTAACCAATATAAAAATGCTTTTAACATTTTTTTTTCTTTTTTTTTGGTTTTTCGAGACAGGGTTTCTCTGTAGTTTTGCGCCTTTCCTGGAACTCACTTTGTAGACCAGGCTGGCCTCGAACTCACAGAGATCCGCCTGGCTCTGCCTCCCGAGTGCTGGGATTAAAGGCGGCGCCACCACCGCCCGGCTGCTTTTAACATTTTAAAGAATGAAGCTGGGGGCCTGAGGAGATGGTTCAGTGGTTAACAGTGTTTGCTGTGCAAGGGTGTGGACCTGAGTCTGGATCCTCAGGGCTCACAATAACTTAGGTATGGCCTTGAGTGACTGTAACCCCAGAAACAGGTGGATCCCGGGAACTTGATAGCCAGCCAGCCTAGTCAGAACTACAAGTTTCCGGTTCAGTGAGAGACCTCATCTCAAAAAATAAGAGAGAGAGCAATAGATGAGGCTGCCCACCTCTGGTATGGACCCACACACGTTTATGTGCATAAAACCCTTCCACTTATA